CAGGGGCACAGAGAAATCTCTCAGCCCCTGCCAGGAGACCACTGTCTCCTGGCTCCATGCACCCTGCCAGCCCCTGAGCTGGCACCCAGGGGGAGCCTAGAGCTCTCCCTAGCTGCTGCAGGGGGGCAAGTGCAGGGCCAGAGAGGGCGGGAGCAGACTTGCTGCCAGGAGCAGCAAGTCTGCTCCCGCATCCACACTCATGTAGACACCTGCCCAGGGTAGGTTTACTCTAGAGTAACTTAGTCTAGAGTAAACCCACCGCACAGCATTTGCATGTGTAGACATGCCTAGCATGTCTATTAATGTTATGAATAATTTGTTATTAGTTCAGTCATATAGTGCATTTTTATGGTTTAATTCCTTTTATAGGTTTTGTTTTAATTTTTTAATATTCTGTTAAAACTTAAAAATAGTAAAAGAAATACTTAACATGGAAGGTTAATCTCATTCCTCCTAGCTAAGTTAACCATGTTGGACCTAAAGTATGTAAACTCTGTTTTAACTGTTCTATTAGAAGGAAAGCTAGGGGTCTGAACCTTCAATGTCTACTCAAGTGAGTAAATTTTGTTGAAGTCAGCTGGACTATTCACATAGACTCATTACATTGCAGTTTCTATATCATCGTCAGTGGAAAAAGAAGTACATCAGGCTCAGCACAGAGGTGGAAGATGCCCTGGGGTGCCTGCTTATCTCTCTGCTACCATTACTGCTAATCCAATCACTGGCTTACTAGTTCAGCTGATGAAGGTAATGGGCATGTGTCACGATTAGGTCAATAGAATAAACATTTTTTTTTCTCAAATTATTTAGAAATTAAGAAATCTAATTCAGAAAATTACATCAATTTGACTTTTCTGCAAACCTCTTTGGTGTTCATAGCAGCTTGATCCAAAGTCAATAACTTTAACTGAACCTTGGCCTTTGTGGTATAGCAATATGTTCTCCTAAAGAAGAGAAATCATAGAGAAAAAAGGATGTAATCCCCCACTAGTTTAGTAATGTACCATATGTTGAAATTATATTTACTTCTGTAATATTCACTAGAAACCCTTATCATTTTGCTTTGCCTGTTCATATGCTTCACTGACAGTAGAGGGCAGTTATGTATAATTTTCTGAAAGAAGTCAAATGAGACAAATCAAAAAAGAGGATTAGGAAACATATGAATATTCAGGCTTAGCCAAGTAGGACACTTGTGTCATAACAGCATGTAGGAAGCTTCTTCCCCAAGGACAAGCAGCAGGGCAACATCATTCCTCACAGTTCTAGGAACAATATCCAGCCAGCACAGGCACACTGTTCCTCCTGTGTGCATTATCTACTGATATATGAAGAAGTCTAAGTACCTGCCAGTCCATGTTCATGCTGCACTGAGCAGCACATGCTAAACAGCCAAACATGCTGTCACTTATATAATGAGAGACAAAATACACCCAAACAACATGCTCTGCTAACCTGCTCACATCCATCCAACCTGAAGGATGGCTCCTAGTGAGGATACATAGCCAGTAATGCTCTCCTCCCTTCCATACTTTCCTCCCCACTGCATCCAGTGTTGGATTTCATTTTATAAGTCAAGGTGCATTGTGCAACTAAATATAGCAAAATACCACCCAGGGTAATTTTATTGGTCACAATGAAAGCAATGCAAGTAGCTCATTTTTCATTTCACTGATGGTTCTGAAGAATCAAGTCAAATTGATCTAACTTCAAAATATTTTGGAATATTCAGCAACCCCCTTCAAAACTGGGTTGGAATCTCCCAAGTAGCATAAATAATGAAGTACTCATTGCATTGGGGACCAAATGACCCCTATAATCTGATGGTTTCTAAATATTCTTTCAAGATCATCTTCATTAATAAATAATAAAATGTGCCTCACTTGCACTGTACAAGCAACCCATAACACAATGGCCATACTTACAGGTTTGAGGTCACAGTGGATAATTTTTTCCTGGTAAAGTATTTGTAAACATTTCAGTACACACTGAGTGAATCGTCGAATCAAAGACAAACTAAAACCTTGGAAATTATTCTTTTTGATCAGCTCATATAAATTTATCCTGCAGAAAGCAACAGGAAAAAAAAAAAAGAGATCAGGGCACTGAATGTTTAAGATATGAAAAGTTTATCGTCTATTAAAAAGCTTCTTATATTTTTCCTATACAAGGGAAGGAAGTCAGCCAGAATAAAACAAAAGATGTATTCCTTTTGGGGAGCACTGTGCTTCCCCTTTTGGGGAACAAAGTGCTTCCTCTTACATGCCTAGGCACCTGGGCTGGGGATACAGTCATTGCTCTGCCCTTACCCAACTTGCTTTCAGACAGATGGTGCAATGGAAATACTAGCAAGGCACTGCAATTACATTCCCTCATGAATTGCGTTCAACCACCTAGATAGGGTAACAAGACTTTGGACACATCTACACGAGGCATGTTAATACACATTAGCCTAATTTAATGCACAGTATGGGCATGTGTCTACATGTGCATGCCCTTAATGCACATTAAAATGGCAAAAATAGGCAAATCATGCCTAAATTTGATACCTGCAAATGCAGGTATCAAATTTAGGTGTGATTAGTTAAAGCACGTTAACACACATGTAGACACCACTCAGCATCTGTTTAGTGCCGGGTCTGCCCAGTCTGCCAAAAATCACTTAATGCACATTAGCTTAATGCACATTAAATTTAGTCACACTTAAATGCACATGTAGATGTGCTCTTTGTGTAGGGAAGCTCTTTCCACTTCCTCCTTGTCATATCCACACAAAGGATGGACAGTCTGCTCCCTAGTAAACAAAGGTAATAGGATAAGGCACTTCCATTCTGTGGGAAAAGAAATTCATGGATCAAGCAATTTGTGTTAGTAATATTTAAAACAATCAGGCCCATACATTTCATGTTACAAAGACTCCAGCTCTTTCAGAAATGAATGGACGTGCTAAAACGCTAGTAAATGTTTTCCTACCCATTTCCCATACTGAATTTTTGAGACCCCAGGCATCTGCCTTTACTGGACCAAGAGGCCTCTGCTTATACCACATTAGTCAACATGTGCAGTACAGCACACCCACTTATTGTAGCCAGTGTGAGCTGGATACGACAGAGAGGTCTGAGTTAGAGATCAAACCTCCTAATAACCTGCTGACGCATCCAGAAGACGAACATGCTCGAAAGAATGAGAAGAACAGCCTGAAAAATCCATCTAGAATTCAGAAAGACATTTTTTTTTTTAAACAAAAAAATAACCATTACTTGAACTTTCATGTGACATTCTGGTTACAAGTAATGCGATGAATAAAACTGATTTCCTTAAACTTCCTCCCATAACATCCATTTACAGAATGGGAGCTATTTGCAGAAAGAAACAACAATAGCTGCTTTTTTAACTTCTGACACATGGAATCTTTAAAAATAGATGAAATCATGGAATGCTCACATTCAAAAACACCCCACAAAGCTCACGTTCCTGGTACATGTTACCGCAATTGTTGGCCAACAGGCACAACTGTAAAGGTCACGTTCATTTGCTGTACAGATTTATTGGTTCTTGTATTTTTCTCCTGTTCTATCATTTGTACTTGTTACTACTGGAGGGAATCATAAGATCATGGGTTTTTTTCAGCTCAATGTCCTATGGGAGTTTGTCATGGTTTGTTTTCTTCTGCTAAAAATTGCTAGGCTGTACAGCAATTTTATACAGCACTAGACTTAGTGTTAGGACAAACCTACTTCATTCAGGTTTTTCACATACAACAAAAGAGGGCAGATCAGCATAACAAACTCTGAAGTTCAGCAAGCCTGCACCCTATTTTTTTATCCTTTTTCTCCTACCTCTTTAATTCTATGTAGTAAAAACATGCATATGCACAGCATAAGAATTTGGGACCAGATTGTCTGAGGTATAATGAGAGTCTCCATGGTGTCCATGGAAAGGAAAATTTAAAAGGACCTTTTCCAATCTAGCATCAAAAGCTAAGGTCAATCACAGGCTCTATGTTCAGAAATGGTCCTTTAGTTGCACTACACAGGGAGGCAAAGCACCCAAAAAGCAGGTGGAGAAAAGCCAGGTCTTACTTCCTCACAGCCATACCCACTGTGTACTGCAGCACTTACACTCAGTCCCCCTGCACTCTGGAAATCTAGGGCAGGGGTTCTCAACCTCTTTACACTTAAGGCACCTCTCATCAGACTCAAGACACTGCTTGGAAAATGCCAGCTCCTGTGCTTCATTCATTTCTTGAGTGCAGAAAAATAATACAGCAATTCATCTGTTGCAAAGAACTCAGAAAGATCACTACATGTATCATGTATAGATGTCTCCACGTCCAATATTGAGCAGCCTCTCCCCCCCGGCACCTTTAAAACAATCTAGAGCAGTGATTTGCAACCAGGGTGCTATATAATTCTGTTGAAACAACAAAAACAGGCCATGTTTTCCAAAACCTAAAATGTGAATTAAGGCATCCACTTCTGGAAAAAAAAAATCTCAGTCCAAGGATTCAGACATTCATTCAGCTGTGAGCTGGCAGACCATTCTAGTGTTGATATGCCAGCGATTTCAGAAAGCATGCCCCATCTCTGCAGAATTCCTAAACCAATGATTCCAACCAGGGTGATGTGAAATCCTTTTAAGGGTGCCACAAAATATTAGCACAGTTAGATGTGCAAACACCTACACGTGATTCACAAGATAAACTTAGAGATTTTAAATAGGAATCCATAACATCAAAAATAGTCTGACCTGTTGTGGTCTTAAGTTCTTTGCAACAGAAGAATTGCTCTATTATTTTTCTATAGTCAAAAAACAAGTGAGAGCTAAGAGCTGGTATTTTCCAGGGGGTGTCTTTAGCCTAATGACGTTGAGAAGCACTGATTTAGGAAAAAGACGAGGTTGGAACAAGCACTATCCCTCTTTGACTCCCCCAAGTGATGCTGCTGATAAAATTACCCTACTTAGGAATATGGCTGAAAGCTACAATCTGGCCCTATATGGAAGTGAGCTATTGGTGTTCTTTACAAGCCATTTTTCTCTACTTTTGTCCTCATCTTTTTTCTAGGACTCTCATTTCCTGAATAACAAATTATGCATAAATTACAACAAATGCCTGAATTCAACAATTACAAAGTACAATAAAAAAACCCCAAACAAACCAGACAATCCTGCAAGGCAAGAAAATAAGTAACAAGATATTTCCATAACACGTGGGGATCTGCAAACCTGTATCATTTGTCCCAGGCTGTATGCAAAGGAAAACAGTCCTTACCCCAGCAGTTCAAAGGAAATGCAGAAGTGATTGCGAAAGTAAAAATATTCCTTCATATGAACTATGTTGTGAGTATTGTCTTTGTCTTTCTTAAGGAGAGCCTCAAGAATCTGTACTTCCACCATAGCCTGACTGTGAAATCTAAAGGCATAAGTGAATAAGACAAGGTTAAATGGGAAGGTGGAAACCCAATGAATAAAAGCTAATTTTATCACAGTGCAGAAAGAATGCTACAACTGATATAATCTTGATGCAAACATAAAATAGATAAAGGGGCCCATTATGAATCAAGCTACTTCAAATAATCACACAATGAGTCTTGAGATGCAACAGTTATTTCTAACCTAAATACGTGAAATGCCCTGCAGTGACTTTTGTCAAATATTGACCTCATAATGGTTACGATGCCCTAGAATAATTATTTGGAACCTGGTTGACAAAATAATGTAATAAGAAAATGCATCAAATGAAACTTGCCTGAGCATCTAGAGTGAAATCCTGTCCCTACTGAAATTAACAGGTATCTTTCCCTTTACCTCAGTTGGTCCTGGATTTCAGTCCTAGAGTAGCAAAGTTTTCATTTTGAATAATATCTTTGCACCCAGGTCAATGGGGTAAAAAAGGTAACGTACAACTAAAGGACCTGATCCCATTCCCTTAACAGTCAAAGCATAGTTTACTCCAACATTGCTGGATCAAGCCTAAATAAGCTAAATTGTATTACACTGAGTGCCTGAATAATTTTATCTGTCCCTGTGTCATGTTGTACAAACTGAGTCTGTACTAAAAGAAACAGTGCTTCCTTATTACCAATTTTAAACTTGCCATCTTTTGACTGGGTGCTTCTTTGTCCTTGAGAAGGAATAAACAGAAGCATCAGCCTGGCTTTTTGCATGCCATTCATTATTTTATATTGCTTCTCCTTCTTCTTCTTATCAAACCAGCTAGTTTTAATATTTTTTCTCTCCCCCAAAGAATCCTACTATTCCAATGTTTTCACCATATGACTTGGACTCCTGGATTTTTCTAATGTGTACAGACAGCTCTGTAACAAGCCTCTTCAGGAGATGTGACACAGGAAAAGAAAGTGCTGTGAGTAGGAGTGCAGCGAGTTGGAAAGTGCGGGATAGTGAAAAGGGCAGGGGATCAACAGGTTGGGAATGAGGTGCACTGTCAGGATTGGGGGAAGGGGACTTGCACCACTCCTGCCTACTTCATTCCTGACTTTTTCAAGAGCCAGTGAACTCTACATCTTCCCAAACAAGCAGCTAACACAGCAGTTTTATCTGAAAAAACTGTATTCCAAACATCTTTGGAAATGGTATAAAATGTATTTTTATGGTAGATAATTACTTCTTAAATAACTCAGCATAAAACCTGGGCAGACTACTTCCTTGAATAAATTAGTATTAGTATAATAACCAATGCTTTATGTTTTATATACTGAGTTGAAGTTACAAGCTGCCATACCTCTTCTTGTTCCTTATTATTTTCACTGCCACTATTTCATTGGTTTTGTGGTCCAAACATTTCGCTACTTGGCCAAAAGATCCTTTCCCAATGATCTCCAGCACTTCATATCGGTATGCAATGTGGTCATGTAAAACCTCCAAAGGAAAGGGAAACAAAATGCAAAGTTCAGGCACCAGGCAGTAATTCAAGATTCATCTTCTAATATGATGCGTTGGTGTGTGACTGTTGGGAAGATTCCTTTCTCAATTTATGCACAGAAATAGCAGTTACCCAGCCATATAAGTGTCATTTTTTACATGTATGCACCATTTTTTTTACTTTTTTGCCCCAAACGCCTGCACTTTTGGTGTCTAATTTGTACAACAACATTGCACTTGCATTTCTGTCAGGTTTGGTTTGGTGAGACGGTGCAAAGAGAGTACGTTCTCAATAGGACAGACTTCATTCAAAGTAGAGAAGCTGACTGGAAACTGAAAAACTATGATACCTTTTCTTTCTTCCTCTTCTCCCCCACTGTAATAACGACAGACAAGACAGGATGTGATTTGCAATTTTTTCAACATGAAGGGTGCTGGTCCAGCTATTCAGAGGTGTTTAGGTACCT